CTCTCAACCGAAGGTGCGCATGTTTGAAAAAGGGGACAAGGTTTTTGCACGGAATTATGCTAATGGTCACTTATGGCTTCCTGGGGTGATATCCGACTCTGTGGGTACTCGAATGTATGTGGTGCAGTTGGCTGACGGTCGAATCTGGCGGCGCCACATAGATCAGTTAAGGAGGCGTTGGGCTAAGGACAGCGCTGACTCTCCGACGGCTGAATTCCCCAACGTTGAGTGGAGACCCCCAGAGCAGGCGGTGAGTACCGAACTGCCCGGTACTGTCCCCGAGTCAGGGCAGACCCCTGTGTGCGGGGCTGAAACCCCAGTAGAGTTGGAGCCTGAACCAGGCTGTATTGAACCCCACACTGGCTCACAACCTTGTGTGCCCATAGCGCCTGCACCGCTTCGCAGGTCTCAGCGTGAGCGGCGAGCGCCATCGTACTTGGCTGATTATGACTGCAATAAAGTATGTGGTATTGACTAATGTATGCATTATCGATCAACTGTAAATATTTTAACGATGGTGTTGTCTTAACTTAGGGGGGAGGAATTGTAATGTATTGGAATCCTCACATGAATCACCTCATTAGACTCCCATGTTAAGCTTCGAGCCAAGCTAGGGCTCCTCTGACTGAACTTCCTATTGGTCGCTTTGTAACAGCGACCAATCAGAACAGTACCATTCCCTGGGAGGGAAAGACTCCCATTGGTCCTTAACTAAGCAATCTCATTGGTTGTTATTTGTAAATAGGCGTGGCTACATTAGCCCGGTTATGTTTAAAAGGAGCATAGCTCCCACAGTTTCTTGTTCTGGTTTCTAATGCGTTTGAGTGCTTGTTCGTTACTTCAATAAAGCTGAATCACTTGCTGAATCACTCTACGAGTCCTTTGTTAGCGCGATCTAACACCAATCTTAGCTTCTAATTCTGCTTTATTATAAGGTTGTCCTTTTTTTAACTAAATCTATTAGGCAGGTTATGCCAGCTTGTCTCCATTTATTAAATGCCAGAAATTCTTATCCCAGAGGGAACCATTTTTGGTTTAGAAAAGTAGCCATTTGAGAAGTACCGGGAGTTAAACTCTTTCTACCTTTATTCCAGATTTTTAGGGAGACTTGCAAAACTTCATTTTCATATATCTTTTTTGGTCTAAATTCTGATTGGCTCCAGAATAATTCTGAACAAAACTATTTCTTGACCTATGAGAATGTATAAGAGGTCATCAGAATACATACCAAATTTGAATATAACGTTCTACATTTAGAAAAATCTTACCTCAAAAATAAAAAGTATAGCATCTAGTTCTTCTCTCTGTGACTTGTGCCCTACAATTAAAACAGAGGACACTTTTCAACAAAAACAAGATTAAGATAGAGCCCAAGTATACGTTCAGAATAACCATAGGTAAAAAGTCATCCTACTGCCATGAACAATGCAAGTTGCCAGCCGCGATCTTTGCTGCCATCCTGTTCACACTGTAGCCCCCTCTGCCTCTGAAAACGTGCTCCTGGGGCTTGTGGGATACAGCAAAGTGGAAAAATAGTCATAGTTGCCCTTCCCTGCTCTTTGATCAACACATCAAGAACTCATGCAAGAGAAGGGAGCATATCTGCCAATTCCTCCTTCCCACTACAGTCCTCACACAACATCTCATGCTGCTCCTCCACCCTCAGGAGTGGCTTTTTCGCAGGGACAGTGCAGTGGAAAGGTGCAAAGATGCCTTCCACAAAATCCCACAATTAGGAATTGGTTATCCCTCACTATTTAGTTCACTTCCCACAAATTACCAACTCTCTGTCAGACATTAATACTATGCTTTTTAAGTATTAAGCTGTAAATCCAGATGGTTAAAAAAGTCAGACCAAACCACTGAAAAACAAAAACTGAACCCCACGTGAAATGACAGAGTAGTGCGTTACATTTCATTTTCTCAAAAATTGAAGGAATTTTTTAAAAAGTTTTGCCACCTATAGGAAAGAGTTTCTGAGAAGTATTCAGAAACTCCATCTCTAGTGTACCAGTCCCTTGTACTACAGCCAGTGGGTTACATCTTACTACAGTAAAGAGCAATATCAGAACTAATGGGACCAATCAGATATGTATCTATAGGTTAAAAAAATTATATATGAGTTTTTGTTAGCAATTTAATAAACATTATATATATCAAAAACATGTTTTCAAAATCAGGGCAATGCAGAAGGAACCAAAGAATAAGGTAATAATTTTAATAAACAGTAGGCACAAGAACTAAAACTGCAGATCATGTATTTTGTTTTGGTTCTTACCTTTCTGCTTGAGACTTATTTCAATAGTCACAAAATTTTCAAAGAACACATAATATATGTGTGAAAAGTGTAGGTCAAAGAGCTGCTTAAGGTCTATAGACTCTGCATTTTCTGGCGGGGGGAAAGAAGATCATTTCAGTATTTAACACCACTGAATGACAAAACATAGACAAAAGTCAGTATAGTAGCGAAAAACACAATTTTAATATCGCACATAATCTGTTCTACTTGTACAAGAGAAGCATTCTATTTGACATATGATTTCTATTTTAGAAGTGAGATGCTATTTATACTTATAATTTTATAGAAGCATGTTGGGGGATTTATGGCTTAGCATTAGCAATGCCAACTTTATAGAGGAAAATACAGGGAATACATTCTATTTGTGTATCTGTTTTGTGTTTAAAGAACACCACTTTACAGTGTGTGTGTGTGTGTGTGTGT